CTTGACGTTTATATTGGCAGTGGGATTAATAAAACTCGAGATAAATTTGCCAATTATCTACGGGTCAGAATAGAAGAGACGTCGTTTTCTCTTTCGTTTTTATCTTTGAATAAAAAGCTTTAATTTTGGTTATAATAAGGCCCACACTGAACTCTTCGGCAATCGCAGCGCTGAACGCGTTCACTGTGACGATCGAGGAGATGTGAAATAAACACACTAAGCCCTAAGCAGTAGCCCCCGCTGACAATATTGGAAAACGGTTAGTTTTGCATGTAGATGTACGTTAATTTATGTATGTGTGTATTATTCAGATGTATTATATACCAAATTCTAGAGAATAATCTTATTCTAGAGAATAATAATAATATATAATAATAAAAAATAAAACAGATAAAAAAAACAGTTTTAAGGAATAGTAAGAACATAGGTAGGTACATAATTTCAGACGTGACCTTAAGACCGAAATTCACATCATGTAAATTGTATTCGCCACTAGTCGAAGTTGTACTTGCCTTATTGTCGTTGCGTGAAACTATATATTAAAAATTAAAATTATTATTACGGTAATATTTAAAGTGCTCAACACGCAAAAGTAATTATAAATCGATATGAATATTTATTTTAAAGCATTATAGCCTTTTAGACTAAAGTTTTAAGGTTTAGATTTAAACTGAACAAACAATTACAATTTGTGGTGTGTAGTGTCAATGTACGGCTTATGGTGTAAGTTAAGTAATTGTGTTCGTAAAATGCTATTCCCATATGTATCATAGAAGATATTAATGAGAATACAGTCCTCGGGGCAACAGCAAAACTGTCTAGTAATGCACAAGTTTTTATCGTTTTGAATTCACTTTGAACTTTACTATAAAGATTATATCCAATAGTCCAATCAATGAATTATTAAAAGTTATGATTAAGATTATAAATATGAGCAAAAAGTTGGTATGTAACGTAAAACTAAGTAGGTAGTCAGTATAATAAGTATATCAGTGTGTCATCTTTAAATTTCTAGACAAAAACTTGAAAGAGTTACTTCTGTAAGATCTAAGAAAAAGAAAACTTGAATCATTAAAAGTTATATTAATCTACTTTTAGCAACTTTTCAATGTTTATTTACCTAAGCATAATCATATTCTTATCACAAAATAAAACCTTAAAAAAGAAAAGGCCTACGGGTTACGGTTTCGTTTGTAAACACAAACCTAGGAATTAAGAAATTTTAAACGACTAACTTTTGCTGTTGCTTTTTAGTCTATGACTTTTAGACCTGAAGGCCAATTCTCGTAACAAAAGTGCGGTCTGAATTCAGTTCCGATCGCCTTTCGATCTCACAACTGTCATTTAGGTAAGGTACTTTCGTAGTAAAATATTAAAGTATTACTAAGACTACCGATTCAATTTTCGGTTAAAATATGATATAACCACATTACAGTCTGGATGTTTAATAATTTACTACAAAAATACCTTTTATGACAGTTGTGAGATCGAAAGTTGATCGGAACTGAATTGAGACCGAACTTATATTACGAGAATTGGCCTTCTCGTTCGTAATAGGTACTTTACTCTAGATTTGAATTTAGAATAGATTGTCACACAGACAGTCATAGACATAAAGCTCAAGCAAATAAAACTTAAATGAATTCTTTATGTAAGGTTCTTAAAAAATAGCGATAGTTATCTTAAAGGGAAAATAATCAAAATAAAAAATTATACGTAAGTATACAATCGTTTATCAAAACCATTAATCATAAGTATAATTTATTTTCGAGAGTAGTCCTGACGTTTTTTTTTCAGTCGACCACTGAGGCACAGATAAAAAGTGAGACGTTTCTTTCCCTTGTCGCTCCGCGAAAAAGCTTTATAAAAGGTTTATTTGAACACGATGAGGTCTTTCACAATGTGGACGTGACCCGCTAGGATAAAAAATACGATATTGCTAAAATGGCTGAGACAAAGCCTGTTATTTTGCTTTGTGTGCTTACGCAATGAATTCGTTTGCGGAAAACGAAAAAAAAAACATAACTGTCACTTGGTAATTCGAGTTAACTGGTTCATTCGTTAAGTTTCGAAGTCGAAGAGATTTATTTAAAACTAAAAGTAGATATTTTTCTGGGAATATCTTTTTACGTAAAATTGTTCTGTAAGTACATATGTAATCGAAATCCATCCAAACTGCTGGATCGATTTTGAAGTGTTATGAAAGTGATGTTTCCTGTAGTGTTTTAAGATACTTGTTTATTTATCGTAATGTCGAGTTCTGATACTTTATTAGGTATATCATACCTTGTAACCATTTTACTTTTATGACGTCACTGCGTAATATTTTTTTGTAGCACTTTCATGTTAAAAAGTCTATTTTGGTCAATGGCAACGGAACTAAAATGCGTTCTAGACTAGCGTGTTAGTTTATATAAAAAAATGCCTTGTTTACCTCATTTACTATAACAATGTACTCGAGTACAGTCAATACAAAGTCAAATGATACTTGGTTAGGTGAAACTTTAAAAAAAATTCGTGACGTCACATAACCTACAATATATATCTAATGTATTAAGAGTAATAGCTGGGGTACAATTCTGTAATCCTTAGTATTTGCAACAAAAAGGTTGTCTTTAAAATTTTCAACTCAACAGCTTGCCAACGTAAAAAATCTTAATCTAAAACTTCTCGTCTAGAGTAAGCTCTGAGCTTAATTTTGCCTCGATTATCAAGGCACTAGTTGCTAGAATTTACTTGCTGATATTTAAGACGAGGATAAGTATTTAAAATAATGATAAACGCTTAATTTTGTTTTACGATCAATACTTAGTATTCAAAATGTCGAAATACCGTAGTCTGTTTACGTCAGCCAATTAAATCAGACAGCCAACCTGTTACATGTTACTTGATAGCGTTTATTCCTTAAAGGAGTATAATTCCCGACACATTTGCTCAATGTTCGATGCTCAACGCCCCCCTCTGATCCTGGGGTTGAAGGGTAGGAGGTGTTCATGGATAGTCACTTATCATCAGAGGTCCTAGTGTAAGCTTATTTCACTTCTACTCGATCGTCATAGTGCGATTGGCAAGCTCTGAAATCTTCACCAGTAGATGCGAGTTGTTGTTGTTCGCGAGTTGTTGTGTAATTAATTTGCACTAGGCCCTCTGGTAATGCGTCTGCTCGTTAGCCCACAAACTTATATAAACAAAGATAAATAATAGGGAAATAAATACATAAGAAAAAAAAAATTTACTGCACAAATGGCGTAGTGGTTTAAGCGGTCTCCTCGCTGAGCTGAGCTGGGTTCCATCCCCACATGGGACAACACTTTGTATGATCCACAAATTGTTGTCCTGAGTCTGGGTGTCCTTTGTGTCCGTTTCATGTATGTTTGTAAAGTCCCCCGAGACACAGGATTTATTCCAAGTGTAGGAGTTGTCTTTTCCAAAAAGAAAGCAAGAAAGAATATTGTATCGACTCTACTCGAATTAAATATAAATATCCAAACCCAGTGCCCGATTTTCTTTTATAAATATGTACATCAAAAGCTATTGTACCCTTTGTAAGTGCTGCTTGCTGCTGACTAATTTAGCACATACATACATTTTTAATATATATACAATGTAATTATTATGTCCCACGAATGCCGTTACGATGTTTAGTCACGAAGATTCGATATTTCTATTGAAAATACTCCTATTACATTATTTTACATACATACACTCACGGGAATGAGTTATTCCCGTCAGGGGTAGGCAGAAATGGTAAAACGCCATTTTATATCAACAAAGCGACCAATGCTGTGGTGACCTTGTGAAGAAAATGGATGATTTCGAATAATTTATAACAAATATTAGTAAATAAAGATATTGAATTACGTGTTTGCTAATCCTTCTGACTTTTCACAACTGGCAACCCTCTGAAGATATTTTTTTTTACGATTATTCGAAATTTAAACGACAACTTTAATATTATACAACATCAGTCGATTGATCCTATATTTATAAACAGGAATCAGCACTATACATTCCAGAGAATATCTCTATTAATGGCAAATAAATTCCTTTCTGTGACATTTATTGCATTGAAATAAAATGATTTACAGAATCGCACCCCGATAATACGCAATTTAAAGCTACAATTTCGAAATGTGTCTAGCTAAGTGAATTATTATAAGAAGTGAGAAATTATGCTTGCATATAGAACCCGTCGTTTCTAAAGAGTCGAAAGTCCTGCTCATAAAATAACGTAAGCATCTTTACAACCCTTTTTAGTCATGTTTTGACAAAAGGATTATGAAACAAGGGTCGGTTGATATAAGAAACATTATCCAGTCATGTACACAATTTATCTTTTTGTATGAGCAAAACTATCGAAAACGGTGCTCTTTTATAACGTCAAAAGTCTTCTAAATATTGAAGACAAATACTTTTTCATTTATTATGTAGTTTATTGTGGTCTAAATAATCAATTTCGATAAATTCTATGGTGTGACGTGAGCTATTTAAATCGTATTGTTATTTAATAAATTCTCTACTAAAGTGGCACCATTAGTGTAAGTTGTTCATTTCACGAAGTTATGTAGAATATATAACATATTCTTTGAGAATTTTCGTTTGTTTGTGATACGCAAAATAGTATCATTCCGTTTGGGATGTCAATATAAGACGTAATACAAATAACGTTAAGTTTCACATTCAATATTCAAATTAAGAAACACAAATACACGATGCTAATTGGTTACATAAAATTGGTCCGAATTTATTCATTTTGTTGTAAACCAAATGTACATGACGTGTCTATTTGAAAGAAGAACCATGGTTCTTGATTGGATAATTAAGTCTCACTCGCTTTTTTAGAACTTCCATAGACAAATTACATATAGGCAGAAGAATGTCAAGTGTCTTTGGTAAAGTGAATTGTGAGAAAAAAAAATCTGCCTTGAGAAGGTCACATTCTTTTTTCAAAGTGTTCCTTTTTTAAATCTCAATTGGTTAGTGTCTAGGGTATCCATGTTTCATATAAATCTAGTAACTGCTACTGCGAGAAGTGATATTCCCGCCTTGAGCTCGAGGAAAGGACTGGGTCGTGTGGCTGACGAGTTGCCAGCCAGAATGAGGGCCCGAAGACGCTGCCGCTCCCTGTATCTTTGGTCTTCGCCCGGGGGGTCGAGGCATTCGAACTCGCAGCATCGCTCACCGACGCGGAAGTTTTTGCAGAACTGTGGATTGAAAGAAGAGTTTTATTACTTTAATATAATGATTTTCGATGACTATGGCATTTTGATAACAGTTTACATTTCTCTTTCTCTTTATCTCTTTATAAAAGACAACTCCCGCACTAGGAATAAATCCTGTGTCGCGGGGGACTTTACAAACATACATGAAACGAACACAAAGTACACCCAGACTCAGAACAACAATTTGTGGATCACACAAAGTTTTGTTCCATGTGGGGTTTGAACCCACAACACTCGGCGTAATAGGAAGCGGCGTGGCGACCGCTTAAACCACTACGCCATCCGTGCAGCCAACATTTGCTTTAGGTTGCTTCGTACGTTACTCCAGTTGGCCATCGTTTTCGTTGTTAGAAACAAAATGATGAAAATCAAAGACACACGAAATGAAATACCTAACAAATTTTATTGTTGGGTTTTCCTCCCTAGTTTTATTTAACGTGTGGTAAATACTTGTACCCCTTCATACAGTTTCCCTCGATCTCCAAAGTTTCTAAAAAATTAAGTGTCCTGCTCCTAAAATTAAGTAATCAGCTGTGGGACCTTTTAGGAGTCATGAGTATACATTGGGAGACTGTAACAAGGGGTTGGCTGATAAGATAAACATGATAATAATATTATCAAGGTTCCATGTTTTTGATTAAAACTTTTTTTAAATCTAAAAATTGTTCTTACAATCAGCAAAATTAATGAGGTACAATCAGTACCTGCAGGCGTTCATGGGCGGCGGTAGTCGCTTTCCACCAGGTGACCCGTCTGCTCGTTTGCCCCCTATTCCATAAAAAAAACACTTCTAATGGAATTTATAAGAATTATACCCATTATAATTTTCTTACCCTTTTCTTAATTTCATTTGGACGCCATATTTAATATGAATATGACAATGGGTTTTTGGTTTCTATAATGGCCGACTGTCTTCCTTGAGAATGTAATCGTCTTCGTCATTATTTACATTACATTTTTATATTGTTAATTTACCATATTTAGTCGTATGAAGTTAATTTCATTGCTACCGACTACCTCAACTCATACTCATAGCTGTAGAAATTCCATAAATTCCGTATACTCAAATGCTTTTAACAGTTTTAAATTAACAATTTTCATAGTATTGATTGAAGTTAAAACGTTTCGTTAAACGCTACGTAAGTTCTAAGTAAGTGTACCACTTGCATAATTATAATATTATTTACCTTAATTAGTTTGTAGGTTCGTAACCGCTGCCAGTCATGACTTATGACACATGACGTACGATTATTAATTACATAACATATTATAGTCCTGTTACTAAGATATTAATTACGAGGCTTTTTTTAGTTTAGTAAGTTGTATGGCGTCGATAATTTTTAATTGTCACTGAAGAGAAAGTTTTTTTATGGTATAAGAGCGCAAAAGAGCAGTTCTGTCACCTGAAGGCCAATTCACTTAGTAAAAGTTAAGTCACAATTCAGTTCCAATCAAGAGCTAATCAGAGGGCCAATGCTCGTAATATAAGTTCGGTTAAAATTCAGTTTCAATCAACTCTTGATCTCACAACGGTTATAAAAGGTATTTTCGTAGTTACTAAAGAGTCATAAGAGCGTTACCGCTCTTCGTGTCCTTCCTCCAGAATAAGGGGGAGGAGGGGTTTGAACTCTGTGGGATCGACGATGAGAAGACTCGACGTAGCTTCCCAAACGAATTTCGGGTTTATTCACTGATACTCATCGCTCCTATTGGTTGTAGCATATCCTTCCTCGATAAAAGGGATTTTCAAAACTAAAAGAATATTGCAATTCGAACCAGAAGTTCCCGAGATTACCCTGAACATACAAACTCACGAAGTTCACCTCTTTATAATATTAGTATAGATTATAAAAGTTATCAAATATGTACAACTCTGAAGATAGAAGAAGAAATAAGAAATTCAAATAAGGTCTTCATCTACTCACATAAGGTGGATCGCAATAAATGGCCTTGCACCACATCGGCTTGGTGTGATAGCAGACGCACAGCGAGCAGACCCCCGGTCCCGGCACGTACAGAAGACCGTGCTGTACAGACTTGCCTTCCCAGTCGATGCATTTTTCATCCACACATGCTGAGGACAAAGAGCAACAATGAGATAACACTTTAAAAGTAAATGTTAATAATTCATCATCATCATCAACAGCCTTTAATAGTCCACTGCTGGACATAGGCGAGAGGCCTAGAAAGGAAGCTTTGACCTACTATACCACGCTGGCCAGACGAGTTGGTTTGTTTAAAGTTTTCCTTCTCTTTGCAGTGCTGTTGTCCCTTAGTAGGCTCTTACGACTGCTTATGGGTGGATAAGGGCGGTGACATTCCGTATTCTTAATCTGGCGGATTAAGAATACGGAATGTAGAAGCACACGGATAGGATACGATATTGTTAATAATTAAACTTTTAAAAAAGATTGACTGACTGTTCTGTGTTTCTATATCATGATAAATTGTGTATTATGTATTCATTCCTAAATTTTCCACCTTAACGGTGTTAGTTTTTTTTTTTAAATTTGAATGAGACGGAATCAGAAGTGGGTATACTATTCCAAATAAAAAAGTACTCCACTACTGTGCGCTTTTCGAGACACTTTTTACCTTTTTTTTTTTTTTTTTTTTTTTTTTTTTTTTTTTTTTTCCGTGCGGAAATCCCCTCGGATACCACCTGTCGGTGGCATGTCGGACTCGAACCGACTAAAACCGCACGCCTTCGCCGGGTACTAATAGCCGGGGAACCAGGTATACCCTAGAAAGGAAGGCCCTGGTGCGAGACACTTTTTACCTCGCACAACCAATCTGTGGAACGGGTTATCGTCTGCGGTATTTGCCGACCGATACGACCTTCAAACCTTCAAGAAAAGAAAGATAAGAAATATAGAGCGAACTCCTTCTTAAAAGGCGTTTGTGACTCCTGAGTTGCAGACGTTTATGGGCGGTGATGGTCATTCTCCATCATGTGACCCGTGTGCTCGTCTGCCCCCTCTAACATAAAAAAAAGTAAATAATTTTTAAATTTGGTTCATAAATGCTGGAGTTACTTATGGTGTTACAAACACAAAAAAAACTTTTGAAGTCGGTTAAAAATAGGACACAATTGAGTTTTTTTCCGTAAACCGCCGTCGTCGGGAATTTATAGGTCTTTGAATCATTAGAATTATTAAATTTTCGAATCATTATCGTACGATCACTGATCATATATGATGGTTTTAAATTAAAAAAAAAAATCTTTGTACATCGGCTTTCCAATTCTAAATTAACAAAAAAAAAAAGAAATTGTAACTATGGTTGCATTGTGATTACACATCAACACATCTGAAGGCCAATTCTCGTAATAAAAGTTCGGTCAAAATTCAGTTCCGATCAAATTTCGATCTCACAACTGTCATAAAATGTATATTCGTAGTAAAGTATTAAACATCCAACGTTGACTGTACTGTGATTATATCGTATTGTAACCGAAAACGGATCTTCTAGTCTTCTAGTCTTAGTATTACTTTACTATTTTACTACGAAAATACCTTTTATAACAGTTGTCAGATCGAGAGTTGATCGGAACCGAATTCTGACCGAATTTTTAAAGCCTCTTCTAAACCCGCGCGCGCTTATTTATCAAATAAAATAACACGCCCTTTCCTGTCTTCTGTACCTACTTTCGTCCCTTTTCACGATATCACTCGGCCAGATTGCAGGAAAGAGAGGAAAGCTGTTATACATCCTAAACAATTAATTACCAGACGGCCTTCAACCGGTTAAATTGTCATTCAAAGTAATAATGTGTTGTCTCTAGTGTGTTCTCGTTTAACTATCAATGGCTTACACTAAATCCTATTAAACTATAATTAGTTCAAATTGGTTTATCGTCTTAGACAGCCATTAAATACCTTAATAATACTGGCAGACGTTCGTACCTATTGTAATCTTGTTCTTAGCTGGTGTTTACGTAATAAGTAACTTCGTTCAGTCCGCTTGATACAAAATAATGATATGGTAGGCAAGAAGTGAAAGTTCTAGCCTACCGTATGTGAGAAACTGACAATAAAAAAAGTACTAACGAGGCTGACAGTAGCCGCAAACGATGTGTGACATTTGAAGACCAATTCTCGTAATCAAAGTTCGATCAAAATTCAGTTCCAATCAACTTTCGATCTCGCAACTGTCATAAAGGATATTTTCGTGGTAAAATAGTAAAGTATTACTAAGACTAGCAGATTACCGATTCAATTTTCGGTTACAATACGATATGATCACATTACAGTCAACGCTGGATGTTTAATACTTTACTACGAAAATACCTTTTATGACAGTTGTGAGATAGAGTTGATCGGAACTGAAAATTGACGGAGATAACTCATAAAAAACATACAAAAAAAATAGGCGAATTGAGAACCTCCTCTTTTGTGTTTTTGAAGACGGTTATGATACAAATAGCGCGCGCTGCTTTCAATCTGGGTTCACTACGTCTTGAGAACCCTAATTTTTCTTTTTTTACCCTCTCAAATTCGATTTACATCACATATGAGTAAACATTGATATAATTTTAACTCAATGTGAGTAAAATAACAATTGCGAACAAAATTTTAGCAAATAATAACAAATTTATTGGACCGTGAAATTTATTTTATAAACCAATGTTTATATAATAAAACAACTCAGCGAAAGTAAATTACTATTCATATTCATTTTGGTTAATTTATTCTATTAGAAATGTAATCTACATACTACATACATAAACACTCAGCTTCAATCCTGTTTGAGCAGGCCGGGGTGGCGGGAGCCAGGGAGCAGAGGGAACATGGGGTTCCCACACGGGGGGGGGGGGGGGGGTCGTCTACCTGTTGTCGTAGATGGCCCGAGGTATGTCGGGGCACCAGGGACTTCCTTTCTAGGGTATACCTGGTTCCCCGGCTATTAGTACCCGAGACGGCGGTTTTAGTCGGTTCGAGTCCGACATGCCACCATTAGATTAATTTTAGAACAAAAGTTAGACATTGTCCTTATACAAGAACAATATCAGAGCGCTCGCTTGCGTCGTAATGTAGTACAGCTTGACTGCCGTTCGCAGGCTGGGATATATGTTGCAAGTTCTAATTTTACGGTAACATCTTTGCGTAATCTTATGACGTCACACTGCGCCGTTGCTGAGATCTCATCCTCTACCTGTAAGGTTTACGTAGTGAGCTGCTATTTTCAATATTCACATCCTATTGATCCTCACTTACATCACTTACGTTACGTCTTGCAGTTCCTCGTGGGACATAAAATTATCATTGGCGCTGATGTCAATGCGTCATCTTCATTATGGTATGGCAAGTTGCGTTCAACCGACACGGTTCGACGTTGTGCGGTTGAAGATTTCATTGCGGAAATGAATCTTACTATTCACAATACCCCCGATGCACCACCAACTTTTTGCAACCCAATGGGTGAGTCTTCTATTGACGTGACGCTTACGCGCGGCGACGTCTCGATATCCGGATGGCGTGTCCTCCCGGACGCATCCTGTAGTGATCACCGCTTGATCGTGTACGAATTCATACCAAGGGTTGCACGGGATCCACAAAGGGCTCCTTTTAATTTTAGATATAAAACTAAAGGTGCGAACTGGGCTTTGTTTGGTTCACTATTTGCAACTCATACCAAAGACTTCAGTCGCAGTAGTTTATCAGCTGAGGAAAGCGCAGAAATACTATCAGAAACTTTCACATACTGCGCTGATGTATCTATTGGTCGCGGATCTATCACTAACACTCGTAGATGTGATTGGTGGAATGATAGATTAGTCGAACTACGTAGAAGCTACCGGAAAGCTCGTAGAAAATTAAACAATTTTAAAAAACACAACGTAACAGGAGATTTGTACAATAATGCTCTCATTGCTCTTAGAGTTGCCAGGTCCCACTACAGAGCTGCAGTGGAAAAATCGAAGGGAAACTTAATTCAGAAACTTGTCGATAGACTCGATAGAGAGGGCCCGTGGTCACCTTTGTATCACGAATTTAAGGCAAATAGATCAATCGACCTTGCATACATACAGAACATCAAAATTAATAACAGATATACCACAGGAGTAGAAGAAACAGCAGAATATCTTTTAGAATCACTCGTACCTGACGATCGGCCGGAAAACGACACTGATCATCACCGACAGATCAGGCAGTGGGCCATCGAACCACCACTGTCTCCAATGTCTGATTTACCATCTTCAGACGAATTTCTCGGTATCATTAGATCCTTGCCACTAAACAAGGCTTCGGGCGATGATAAAATATCTAACAAAATGATCAAAGAAGCTTGTAAACTTTCGGGTGACACGATTTTCACTGTCTTTAAACGTTGCATTGCTGAAGGAATATTTCCTCGTATATGGCGGTGCGGTAATATTCGTATAATACCAAAAAGTGGCGACAAGCCACCGGATGATCCTAAATCCTACCGACCAATCACATTGTTACCATCGTTAGGAAAGCTTTTAGAACGTCTTGTAGTGCCCCGGCTTCTGCCAGGTGGAGTCAAATTTCATGATAGACAATTTGGATTTACGTTGGGTAAATCGACAACTGACGCTGTTATATCGGTTAGAAAGTTTGTCACAGAGTCAAAATTTCAATACGTGCTGGCTATTTTCTTAGATATATCTGGCGCCTTCGATAACGCATGGTGGCCCATGCTGTTGCTGAAATTAAAATCACGGGGGTGCTTTAAAAATATTTATTCCCTTATATCTTCGTACTTTTCACAAGGTACTACTAAACTAAGACTTGGTCATCATTCTGTGTCGAAGGCGCTTACAATGGGATGTCCTCAGGGATCGGTGCTAGGTCCATACTTGTGGAATATCGGCTTCGACGATTTTCTTGCGATACCAATACCATCCGGGTGTACTCTGAACGCGTATGCTGATGACGGCTTATTACTGGTGGAATCTGATACTAGGGCGGGGCTTGAGAGATTAGCCAATAGATGTTTGAACTTGATATCTCAATGGGGTGAACGTAATCGCTTAAATTTTGCACCCAACAAAACCTTCCAGCTACTTTTAAAAGGTAACCTCAAATCACCGCCAAGCATTAGATTTGACAATGTTACTGTAAAAAATAAGGCCTCAGTGTGTTACCTAGGATTAGTTTTAGAAAGAAACTTTTCATTTATCGAACATATTAAAATAGTTAATGAAAAGTCTAAAAAGAGTTTCTGTGCATTGACAAGGATATCAACTGCGACATGGGGTCTATCATTTAATACATTAAAGATCATATACGGAGCTACTTATTTAGGTTCTATGTGCTATGGTGCACCTGTATGGGCCGATAGGGCGACCGTAGGCGCTGTCCGTCGCAAACTGTTACAAGGCCAACGACTTGCACTGATATTCTTGTGCAAGGCATATAGGACGGTTAGCACCGAGGCTTTGCCGGTGTTGGCGGGTGTGCTTCCGGTCGATCTCGAAGTGCAGAGACGTGCAGCCATGTACTATTCAAGACAACAAAACATGGAATGCGATTTTTTGGGCGCGCGGGATCGCGGTAAAATTACAAGATTGCTTCAACAGCAGTCCGATGTCTATAATGACCTCATAGACGAATGGCAACAACGCTGGGATGAATCATCCAAGGGGCGCCATCTTTACCAATTCTTTCCATCTGTTCGCGAACGGTTGTCGAGGACATGGCTTGAGGTGGATCACTGTGTCGCTCAATTTCTTACGGGTCATGGTAACTTTAAGAGCAAGCTTTATTCATTTAAATTAGTCGAGTCACCATTGTGTCAATGCTCAACACCTAACTCTCACTATGAACAGTCTGCTCATCATATCCTCTGGGAATGTAGTCTTTGGTATAATGAACGTAATATAATGCTGAATACCTTGCAGGTGACATCTGGGGCGGTATACTATGGGGATCTTGTGTCAACTAGGGTGAATTTCCGTGCGTTTAGGCGATTCTGTCATACATATTATAGAAATCAAATATAGCTCACGTAGGACCCGTAATATTTCGTGGCCGTGGTGCTTCCCTGTTTAAAAGGGTGTATGCCCATTTTATTTCATTTTGTCTCCCGCTTTGCTAAGGAGGGAAGTGGATTTACTATGTTTCCAACTCCTCCAATTTTCTTCTGATTAATTTCGTTGCGGGTTCCAAGACAGTTTAATTTCTTCCTGGGACTTCCCGAGTGTCATAACTCGGTGTGTTCGTGGGTCACTGCTGTGGATCCTGGTGTACAGGAGTTACAGTGGTGGGCATGTGGGCGGGATTAGTCCCAAATGCCACCATTAGAACGTCTTGTAGTGCCCCGGCTTCTGCCCGGTGGAGTCAAATTTCATGATAGACAATTTGGATTTACGTTGGGTAAATCGACAACTAACGCTGTTATATCGGTTAGAAAGTTTGTCACAGAGTCAAAATTTCAATACGTGCTGGCTATTTTCTTAGACATATCTGGCGCCTTCGATAACGCATGGTGGCCCGAGCTGTTGCTGAAATTAAAATCACGGGGTGCTTTAAAAATATTTATTCCCTTATATCTTCGTACTTTTCACAAGGTACTACTAAACTAAGACTTGGTCATCATTCTGTGTCGAAGGCGCTTACAATGGGATGTCCTCAGGGATCGGTGCTAGGTCCATACTTGTGGAATATCGGCTTCGACGATTTTCTTGCGATACCAATACCAACCGGATGTACTCTGAACGCGTATGCTGATGACGGCTTATTACTGGTGGAATCTGATACTAGGGCGGGGCTTGAGGGATTAGCTAATAGATGTTTGAACTTGATATCTCAATGGGGTGAACGTAATCGCTTAACTTTTGCACCCAACAAAACCTTCCAGCTACTTTTAAAAGGTAACCCCAAATCACCGCCAAGCATTAGATTTGACAATGTTACTGTAAAAAATAAAGCCTCAGTGTGTTACCTAGGATTAGTTTTAGAAAGAAAATTTTCATTTATCGAACATATTAAAATAGTTAATAAAAAGTCTAAAAAGAGTTTCTGTGCATTGACAAGGATATCAACTGCGACATGGGGTCTATCATTTAATACATTAAAGATGATATACGGAGCTACTTATTTAGGTTCTATGTGCTATGGTGCACCTGTATGGGCCGATAGGGCGACCGTAGGCGCTGTCCGTCGCAAACTGTTACAAGGCCAACGACTTGCACTGATATTCTTGTGCAAGGCATATAGGACGGTTAGCACTGAGGCTTTGCCGGTGTTGGCGGGTGTGCTTCCGGTCGATCTCGAGGTGCAGAGACGTGCAGCCATGTACTATTCAAGACAACAAAACATGGAATGCAATTTTTTGGGCGCGCGGGATCGCGGTAAAATTACAAGATTGCTTCAACAGCAGTCCGATGTCTATAATGACATCATAGACGAATGGCAACAACGCTGGAATGAATCATCCAAGGGGCGCCATCTTTACCAATTCTTTCCATCTGTTCGCGAACGGTTGTCGAAGACATGGCTTGAGGTGGATCACTGTGTCGCTCAATTTCTTACGGGTCTGGTAACTTTAAGAGCAAGCGTCATTCATTTAAATTAGTCGAGTCACCATTGTGTCAATGCTCAACACCTAACTCTCGCTATGAACAGTCTACTCATCATATCCTCTGGGAATGTAGTCTTTGGTATAATGAACGTAATATAATGCTGAATACCTTGCAGGTGACATCTGGG